CAGTGGGGTTTGGAAGTCAGTGGGGTGTGAAACACTAATGAAATTCCCTCCTCCTGTGGGGCCGAGTGTGCCCCCTTGGCCCTGGAGAGGAGCCCTCCTTGTATTCATGCTGGCAGACAGCTGTCCACGGCTGTTCTGAAGAGGCTGCCAATGAATGGAACTGGTGGAAAAACACAACTCCTCACTCTCCAAGGGTGGCACTATGCTCGGACTCTTGCTCACCAGAGTGGCGCGGGGGGGGGGTGGGGGGGGCGGTTAGCTCAGCCCTGCCACCAGTAGAGATTTCTCTGCCCAAGCCACCCTTGGCAATGGCCCATGCTTCTTGAATTCCACATTCCCTTCATACCCTACATCAGAACACCTGTGACAAGCTTTATCTTCTGTCTCTGGGCTGAAGGGGCCCAGAGCACAGAGATCCTGGCCGCCTCTTCTTCACACATCCCAACAGCTCTAACAGGCACACGCACTCCACTACTCACTTCGATGTGCCAGCCCAGCTCTGATGTGGAGGAAACAATGGCAGACATTTAAGCAGGGTCCTTGGCCTCCTGGTGCTAACAACACTCCAGTGAGGAAGTCAAGCAGCAAAGGACCAAAGTCACACCCCAGGAGCACTGGGTGCGGGAAAGGATACACCGCAACGCCGTCCTTCAGTTGTGACCCAAATGACAAGGCAAAGCCAGCTAGAAGACGCACAGGGAAGGCTAGCAGACAAGGATGGGGAGCTCCTTCAAGAAGCAAGGAGTGGGGAAGGAAGGGCTAGAGACCAAACTCCTAGTGGCCAGATTACGCAAAGCCCAGCCTGCCTTCCTGTGGAGCCTTAGTGCATGCCTACTGGGGGAGGCTGGCCTGACCACAGAAAAGGACTTCATCCCCAGCTACTGAGCTACTAGCATGCCTGGTGGTAGTGAGTGGTCAATTAGCTTGGCCTCAAGGACCTCAAAATGCTGGTCAGAGAACCCGCCCCTCTTCTCACCCACACTCTGCTGCGACATCCTTGCCCTCCCAACATGCCCGTCTCCATACCACGCTGTCAATAAAGAAGCCAATCTGATCCCTGTTCACCATGCTCATCCCATGGTATCGGTTCAGCAAACTGTTCCTGCAGCCAGCCTGGAGCTGGGCACTGAGCATATAGAGAAGAGCTAACCAAAAGCCCTGAGGCCCTATACCAACTCTCCTTCCTGCCTGGGGATTCTCCTTCAAGTCTTCCCACCTAAGTGAAGGCTGCCGTGAGCCCCTGAGCTGGTTCTTACAGGCAAGTCAATTCAAACACAACAGAGTGGTTTTCCCACCCCTCTTCCTCCGCTACCACCAGCCCAGGCAGAAAATCTGGAGCCTCGGGAATGAAGTTGTAAGTAGCATCATCGTGGCAGGTACTATTGATCAAGGACAAAACAGGATTCGGGATTGGTGTGAGGAATAAGTGGTAGGGGAGGCCATTAGGATGGGGGTAGGGGCAAGTGGAGAAGACAAGCCTCAGACCTCCTCCAGCACCACACAGAAATGCCTCTGGAGTCAGAGGGGACCATGTCTAATCTGCCACTCTCAGAATCTCCTGCATAAAAATAGTTGCTGCCATTACTTTTAAAAAGCCAACTGCACTTGGTTTGCACTTTGCCAAATGCAAAGGACCAAAGTCACACCCCAGGAGCACTGGGTACAGGAAAGAATACACTATAACACCGTCCTTTGGTCCTTTGCATTTCAGTCCTGGGGGGGTTCACAGGTATCCTCCTATGCAGTGTGGGGGACAGCACCTAAGGTGCACATGCTGACTCTAGGGAGGCCTTGGAACTGAAATCCCCAAAGGCAGCAAGGCTTCAGGAAGCCCTGCGGGATCTTTTCCCCAGATCAGGGGTCAATCTGACATGGTTGGGTGGCAGGCTTTTTTTCAATGGAACACAGTCACCCCGGAGAGAAGTCAGTATTGCAGATGGTTCCAGACCCTTGAGTCTCCTCTTCCAGGAGCGGAAGGGCGTTTATAAATAGACTGACTCCTTCAGTCCTGCACAGACATAGATCCCACACCCCTGCCCCAGCCTCAGCCAGCTGGTTCTTCAAGTTCCCAAGTTCCCATAGCCTTCTACAGGAGGAAGGATGGTAAGCCAGCATCCGTGGGGGTAGAGAAGAAGGTGCCCTGATGACTGGCCTCCAGTCCACTGTCACTGTGACATCCCTCTGTAACTTCAGGGCTGGGAAGGACAATGGTCTGGAAGCATTGCTGGAGAAGTTCTTGCAGGTTATCTCCTGGAAGCCCAAGCTAAGCAGGCTAATGCACTAGGAACCATTTCCCCTCACTCTGCCTCAGTTTCTACATCTGTCTAGCTCTTGAGGGTGCTGATGAGATTAACACGCAATAGAAGTGAAAGACATTAGCAAAATATTCCAGATCATTTTTTTGTGTGTTTTTATTTTTTTTTTCTATAGCATCCCAAGCATGGGTAAGGGGATTTTGATCCTCTGTAAGAGAGCTGAGAAATGACACACTGTGGCACTGTTAGCCTTGAATTCTTCATACTACATATTGAGGGCAATAAAACTTAGAGAATGTCCCTCTTATAGTAATTTCTGACTAATACAGATTGACACATACCACACCCAATCTTATTTTGACTTAATAAGGTTCTGCCTGGCCATCTACAACATTACAGACTGAAGGCTAAGCCTTGCCCTAGAATATCTTGGTTTGAAGAAAAAAAGTTCCCTTAATCATTATCATTCTACCCACCCCCACCTCACCCCACACACACCACATACACTGGTAAGAAAAAAGTGACTAAAATATAAGTGGCCAATTCGAATCTCTTTTTAATTAAGACACTTGTTTACTCAATAAAATACAGAGTAAAAAACATTTACTGAGAACCCATTCATTGACGCTTAATAGCTATGTCAAATACTCATAACAACATTCATTCCAACACCCCCAGATAATTGCTCATCTCTCTCATTTGGTATCCACAACAGCACTGAATTTGTGTCCAAGTGTAATTGATCCAAAATTGGGCTCCCTTTCAAAAATATCTGTAAAACCTAATTACCAGGAAAACAGTTCTGGCATCCTCCAGAAAGTGGGTGCTTCAGCATGACAAGCTGTACACTCATCTTGGCTAATCAAGCCACATTATGTTGCCCAAGGAATCTGGGAGATTTGGGGCAATGAGGGTGTAGGAAAAGTTGGGACCATGTCACACTGGACTTTGCAGTGACAATCTTGATTTTGTTAGGTCAAGGATGGAGGGAGGGGGCAGGAAACCGGATCTCTTTGCTGGAAAACATGAATTTAGAAAGTACCAGATAATAAGCCCATAATAGGCTCAGGGTCTAGGAGTGGCACTTCTGTGGACAAGTCCACGAGGCTGATGTGGGCTGCTGATGTCACTTCTAGTTCCTTGCTCCTTTACCATTATGGTAGGTCACTCACCCCCTTCCTCAGTCTTGGAATTGCTCATTATAGACTGAGTTCTCTTGATGCCTAGAATCTGTTTCCCCAAATCATGTGGTCTCATTTAAAGCAAAAGAACCCCTTCCCTGCTCGTTTGTGCTTTGTGGGCGGGCTTAGCAGGGGAATAGCGAGTGTGAACAGGACCAAGGAGAATGAAGGACTGAGTGTTTCCAACTCTCAGCGGGTTTGTACCTACTTGCAACACCCAGGTATCAGACCCTCTCTGGGAATAATGATTTCTTTCAGCCTAAACCTGACCTACCCTGGTGGTTCTACCTGGCTGCCCTGTATAACCCAGCCAATAAGGAACCGAGCCAAGCCACAGAACCTCAGACTTTTTCCTCTCAGCGTTGGACACAGCACATCCTCTTTTAAGTGTTTTTCTCCTCTCGGTTCCACTCCCTTCTCGGTCTCAGAAGCCCCAGAAACCCCAGCCCCAGCTCTGCGGTGACAGCACACGCCAGGAACCTCAGCTGCTTCTGCCCTCAGCAGTGGACTCAAGGGCTGATTGAATGCTTGTCTCCACAGCTATGCAGATTTGAAAGGTGAGGGAACCTGCCGGCTCCTTCCAGGCTGCCCCTGGCCTTCCTCCTGGTGAAACCAGACCAACAGCGCGAATAACAAAGCCTCACAGCGGTCGGAGACAATTCACTGTCAACCTAGCAAGAGACGCGCACACTGTGAGCACAGATGCGCACGCGGTTTTCCGAGTATATCGCTAGGAAGAGATCTCCAGCCGCCCAACTAGGATGACAGGTTCCCGGGCAGGCTATGCTTCGCTTTATCGAGGCCTGGAGGAATTACGTGCGTGCGCCCAGTAACCTCAACTTCCCCCCTGTACCGGTAGCTAAGATGCTCATCTAAGCGGCACCTAGGTCCCAGCCGCCAGGCAACCCTTGGGTCTCATTGAGAAGTACCGGATCCCCTCCACCTTTGACAACCCCTTTCCTAATGTTCAAGAAAAGACAGCGCGAACTGCGGGTGCCCAAGTACCAGAGAACTGTCACTGTCCTAAATGCTCTCTAGCCTTCCCGGCAGAAGTACAGCAAAACTTTTGGCAGGAACCACCTGTGGCTGCCGAGAGGCCCGCCCCGCCCCGCCCCGCCCGGGCCCGGAGGCGCCGCGGAGACCGGGGCCGCACGCGCCGGCAGAAGTTCCCTCCGAGCCCCGCGCGCCACTTCGCTCCAGGCCGCGGTGCCAGCCAGGAGGCGCGGCGCCCGCTCGCTGGCTCACTCTCCGCTGGCTCTCCCCTCCCTCCTCCTCTCCCTCTTTGCCTCCGCCCGCCTCCTTCGGTTGCATGGCTGCCGCACGCACGGAGCCCCTGAATAGCCACCGCAGCCCCCCGCCTCCTGCCCAACGATGGAGCGCGCCCCTGCCCTCGCCGGCGCCCCGGGACGCGCGGACCTCCTGCCTCCTAGCAACGGCCCTGCCATCGCTTCGGGGGCGCCGAGGATGCACAGGCACCCTGTCGGAGCCCCGCGACCTCCCGACCCGCCTAGGCAGCTGAGGTACCGAAGCAGACCCCTGACAGCCCGCGCGCGGAGCCGCTCACCTCTGCGCGCCGCCGACCCCGCGCGCCTCCCGCACTTGGCTCCCGGCCGCAGCGCTCGCGTCCTCCTTTTCCGCCGCTGTCCGTCGGTCCCTGCGCTCCCGAGCCGCGCGGGCCGCGCCGCTGTCAGAGTCTCGTGGCGGGGCTGCTCCAGCGGGTGTGCAGCCGAGCGGCGGGCGCGCGGGCAGCTCCTCCCTCCCGGGGCCGCGCCTCCGCCCTCCGCACGCCCCGCCTCCCGCACCGCGGCTGGCAGCCCCGCGCCCCGAGCCCAGCGCCCGCGCCCACGGCTCGGGGGGCCGCACGGGGCTAAAGGGCCCGGATGTGTGCGGTCGCCTCTCTCTGGCTCGCTCGCGCCCGCCCCCTCCCCGCCCTGCCACACATGCACTTGCTGCGGCCCGGCCTCCTCCCGGTTCCGCTAATTTCTATTTTGACAGTCGCTGGCGAGTGGGCGGCGCTGCCGGGGACGCCCAGGACCCGCGCGGGCAGCGAGCTGGAGTCAGGTTCCCTACGCAGGGGCGGCGCGCGGGGGACCCGGCAGAGCCACCCAACGCTGGGGGCTCGGTGTCTTTATTCTTTCTTTTCTTTTTTCTCTTTGCCTCCTCCAGGATTTAAAGGGACAGCCCCGGCCGAGGCGACGGGCCAGGCGGCCGCGGTTTCTCCGGTCTCCAGACGCCCTCTGCGGCCGGTCCGGACCCGCTCACACCGGAGCGATAGCCCAGAACTGCAAGGGTGTTTTAGGCGCACGCCGGACCCGGAACAGGCGGGCTGCAGAGCTTGGCTCAGTCGCTCGGTGCACGATTTTTACACAGTCCGATTAGGATGGGAAATTAAACTACTCGACCACTGCTTTCCCACCCGAAAACAGGAGCAAAAGAGGGTGAGAAGTTTCTTTATTGCTCCGGGAATTTCAACGAACGCTCCAAGACGCCTGGTAGATACCAGCGAATGCAGACTTGCAGCACCCCAGAGCGCCCAAATCCCTGGGAGCAAGACCACCTTGCAGGACGCTCGGGTGCGTGTCCCCAAAACCTGCTCGGGGCTAAAGCACACAGTAACTCCCCAGAACTCACTCACGCATACCAGTAACTCCCAGGAGCTGAAGGCGACTTTCAACCAAGGGGGAGGGTCCAGAGAGGGTTTGGCTCCTCCCCCTTCAGGTCCCAAAGTGGTGATGGGCATTTCTAAACGCAGAAGGAGAGAGACTCGTCCCAGGAGGGCCTGAACATCCTGTCTAAGGCTAGGTGACACTGAGGCAGAGTTTCTCGACTGCAGCAGACTAAAACACTCGAACCACCTTTACTCCCCACCTTTCCAGATAGGATCCCTTGACCTCCCCATCTGTTCTTTCCTGGGGCTCTTTCCTAGGGCTCAAGAAAGTTTTTTCAAAGTCCTGAGCTGCAAGTCCGCCCAACCATGGCTGGAGAAAGAATCGCCAGTACCTTGCCTCTCTAATCTGGCCGCCCATCAATAGAAGGCAGTAGCGCTGGGATTCTATCACCGTCTTCTGGTGCAGCAAAGACTCCGTGATATCCTTTAGGGATTTAATGTAGTTTTTTGCTTGGTGATTCTTCTTAGCCATCGAGATGTTCTTATTCATTTCATTAATTCACACACTAAACGTATATTGTGAGACGTTAATATTGTGAGACTATATAAACATATACACATATGTGTATATATAGTATGGCAAGAGAAAACACGCCTGAAATAGGAAATGACGGGGGAAAGCCAAGGTCGAACGATGGGAGGAGGCATCTAGAACACAGGGTTTGGGTACAGTCGTCATATGACGCTAATGAGCCAGTGAGACCTGGCTCTTCCTACTCAGGAAGTTGTCCAACTCAAGTTTGGACAACCATACCGAAACTATCCGAAGACCCAGGGAAGTGCAGAGAAATCTACTAAAGAAATGAGGAGGTTTTCTAGGCTCAGAATGTCGGTTTCCAAGTTAGTGGGTCTTCCAGAGCGGCAAAAATAGCACCCTTGCTTTAAGTAGGCCTGGGAACCACTGCCCTCCCGTGCTGGGTTGTCTGTCACCTGGCTAAACTAGGTTGTCTGTATGACTGTCTTCCATTTGAAGGGTCTTCAGCAATGTGGAATATTGCTGATCCAGCTAGATGCTTTCTTCTGGGCCATAAATTTGGCTGTGCCCCTGCCAAGTATGGGGGTGCATTCAGGAACAACCTAGATCATCCCCAAGATGACAAGAATGCTGTCCTGGGAAATAGGGTGGCTTCAGCCAGGGAAAAGGTGTCCTATTTAGAAAAGCAAGTGGTTCTGAATCGCAAAGTTTCTCCTCCCTTCTGTGCTGAAGAGCAAATGATTCACAGCTAAGCAACTGCCAGGAGCTAGGGACCAGGCATTCATTATCCTCTCCACAGTAAGCCTCGAGGTGGCTGGACCTCAGGACTGAAGACAAAACTTCCCTGAGTGTGCACACAATTAAGATGGAAAGGGTTTGCAATGCTGGCTGCTAGCAAGTGTTCCTAAAGGAAGCAGTTACATGCCACATATATGGTTTTTGCTTAGGTGTCTGTTCAGCTCCAGAGTGTCCAACTCATCCTCACACCTGATAGGTCTTCATGAACAGAGAAATTAAATAAGCAAGGTTCTTTGGTTTGGGGGGATGTTGTTCTTGTTGTTGTTTTTATTCATTTGTTTGTTGTTTTGTTTTTTCAGTACTGGGGATTGAACCCAGGACCTTTACTACCAAGTGACATATGTCCCCAGACCTTTCTTCCTTTTTTATTTTGAGTTACTTACTAAGTTACTAAAGTTGGCCTTACTAAGTTGCTTAAGTTACTTACTTGAACTTACAATCCTCCTTCCCTGGTCTTCCAAGTAGCCAGGATTACACCCTTGCACCACGAGGCCTAGCTCATTTTTATTTTATTTATTTGTTGTATTTATATTGCTGCAGATGAAATCCAGGGCCTTTCACATGGCTAGGGAAGAACTCAGAATCCCATTTTAAAATCCTGGAGTGATTATGGTCACATATAATAACAGAGATCCAGTGAACTTTGCAAAACTTTGCACTTGTTCATATATAAGCGCAACAGTAACTTCACTTTGCCATAATTAATAAGCTTCACCACCAGACTCTGCCATTTATCAGCTAACCTAGGACATAGCTCATCATTCAACTTCTTGGAGCCTCCATTAGTAAATATATAAAAGAGGAATAATAATGGGACCCTTTCTACTCCATAGAGATGCTGGGATGACCAGATGAGACAAGATGTAGGCAAGTGTTGCCCCCATGGATAACATGCCCAAAGGAGTGACTATGTATCATGTGTGTGGAGTACTGTGTGAACGGTTAGTGTGAATAAATTGCAAATAAATTGTAAATCATAATAAACTGCAAAGAAATTTCTGAGCATTGGGTTTAATATTTACCTATTCTCAAAGATATTAAGAGGCACACTTGGAAAGGGAGAGGACTGATGTTTATAGAACTTCTAGAACTATATCTCATAAGTGTATTTCTATTATATGTTCCTCGTGACAATTGTATATAACACATTTTGTTGTGACCATTGTATATACGAAATTTCTGATGTTAGCAACATCTGGGGAAAAACAGAAAAAGTACTTGGGCCTAGGTCTATGCTGGCACTTTCTCTGTAATGCTGCCCCTAGAGGAGAGAAAGAGAGAGGAAGAGAGAGAGGGGGGAGAGAGAGGGAGAGAGAGGGAGAGGGAGAGAGAGAGACTCAAGAATCCAGGATCCAGGTTCTCACTCCCCTACCCCCATTGTTTCTTTAATTTTTGGGAAAGTAGAAAAGAGCACAATTGCTAATGCACATAAAAAGGGCAAAAGACTCCCTGGGGCCAACGAGCCACTCCAGCCTAACTGGTGAACTGTAGGCCAAGGAGCGACCCTGTCTCAAAGGAGGAGGATGACACTCACAAGGATGAAACCTGAGATCATTCTGTCCTCCACTTGCAACCACAAACTCCCTCTCCCTCTCTCTCTCTCCCCCTTCCTCTCTCCCTCCCTCTCTCTCTCTCCCCTTCCCTCCCTCTCTCTCTCTCTCTCTCTCTCTCTCTCTCTCTCTCTCTCTCTCTCACACACACACACACACACACACACACACACCTACATTGGGCCCCAAATGTAAACATGTGGCTAAAGTTTTTCTGTGTCCCATTCAGTCTTCAGCCGCTCAGACCCAAGTAAACACACAGAGCACACAGAGACTTATATTAACTATAACTGCTCGGCCATTAGCTCAGGCTTATGACTGACTAGCTCTTACACTTAAACTCAGCCCTTTTCTGTTAATCTATATGTTGCCACATATTCCATGGCTTTACCTGTATGCCATTACATGCTGCTCCCTGGACAGCTAGCTGGCATCTCCTGACTCAGCCTTACTCTTCCCAGAATTCTCCTTGTCTGCTTATCCTGCCTATACTTCCTGCCTGGCTACTGGCCAATCAGTGTTTTATTAAACCAGTGTACAAAAGCATTATCCCACAGCACAAACATTTGCCAAGTATGCTTTACCCTGATGACTCCTGAATATACATAATATCACTTCCAAAACTCATTTGAGAATAAGACATGATACTCCTTTATTGAAAACTCTTCCGTGAGTGTTTTCTAAGAGAAAAGACATTCTCAATCAAAACAATCAAGCTCAGAGCAGAGCCATCAATTACACCACTATTATCTAATCTAAACATTTCATCAACTCTCATTGATTGGAAAAATAAAAAAGAAATAAATTCTGGTCCAGAGATAACCCAGGATTCCATGTTGCATTCCATTTTCACACCTCACAAGAGGATATTTTCTGTTAGCAAAGATAAAAGTTATACATTTTTGTTTTCTAATATTAATAACCACACATGCATAACCTATATATGTCCATTTTAATTGAGCATTTACAAAGATTCTCCTGGCCAAACTGTAAACAGGCTCCTTTGAGGCAGACCTGCCTCTCATCCTTGGGTCCACTCTTCATCCTGCCCAGTCCAGATTTGTAAGAATCCTACTAGGTCAGTTTAGTGAGAATCCCACCATGCTCAACATTGGAGCACCTTGATATTCGATCAAACCCTTCCTCTACTTTTGATGTCTGATTGCTCTGGTCTTCCTTTAACCAAAATCCTGTCAAGTCAGTTTAGCAAGAAGCTGCCGACCCTTGATTTTGCCTCTTAGAGATTTTCCATCTGCTCACTTAACTGACCCCCTCCATACTCCCCAATT